AAAACTTAAATGGAGACTGGAAGGTGAAGCTGATGGTAGGCCAGGACCAAGATATATGTTGGGTTGACAAGTTATTATCTCAGACCTTGGAAGTGATCCTTTCTAGTACACAGCGGCATAAAGGAACCTTCTTGGGAAAGACATTAAGTTCCAAGCTCTTTAAAAGGCTCAATCGGCAAATAAAGTGAAATGCAAGTAACTGTACCCCTTCAGAGTTTTATGGATCATCATATAACTGATCAACAGTCATTCAAATAAGTCTACAACCTATGAATTGGGAAAGACAGAGCCAGAGGATATCAGAGTCACTGCTGCACTGTCTACTCAGCAATATAAGTGGTCGGCCTGGTCAGTCTTCAAACGACCTCACTTTATGTACTACTGGAAGTTAGAGAAGAGAGGGTCACAACGGTTCTAGACTGATTCACGCAACTAAAATATTCAAAAATTTATGTAAAGTGAAAAATAATTAAAAAGGATTCTAACAAAAGCAAGTGAAAAGAAGAAGATCCGGCCATATCAAGATGAGATGAGAGGACATCACTACAAAATTGAAGTTTAAGGGTGGAAGTCACCTTCCCATACAGAGTCGAACCAATTCCTCCAGTATGCTGGTGGGCAACACCATAGAAGAGATAGCCAGTAGTTGGCATGGTAAGGTTTGTCCTTTTGACATCAACACACCCATTAACAGCAGTATCAGTGGAGCTGCAAGACTTGATTTCATATTCAACCTGTAGCAAAAACATTATTAGTGATTCTCAATTAAACAGAAGGGAGCAGTTCTACTGGAAAAAAAAAAGTTCCCGTTGAAACCGCCCTTTTATTTTCTGAAACTTCCGAAACGCGTGCTCAGGAATGTTCATTTCATGTGTTCAGTACCAATTTGGTCAAAGTAATCTAACCATAGATTCAGTAAATACAACTTTTTATTAAAAGGCATAACAAATGCAGCAGCATCATCACAAAAATGTGTGTATATAATGATGGGGAGTGACACAGAATCCAAGATCCCCATACCTCACACTAAGGCTGCTCCGAGTATGCAAAACTATATACTCTCAAAAGGGGAGGCCAGTTTTGCATGCTGGTATATGTGCTTATGACTGGGGTTTCGCTTTCAGAGTGTACATTGAGTTTTTATATATCAATAAATATGCATCTACTTACATGTATCAGGAACTTCACTCCAGTGAAATTAATTTAGTGAATTCAGATGTGACACAGCACTATTGCAACTATACTGTACCCTACTGGAGGGTTTCCAATAGTAGCAGATATTCTGTCAGTTCACCATCCTCTGCTGTACGTTTAAAGAATTCAGCTCATTATCAAGTGTATTTCCCACTGTAATACTTTTCTCAAAGAAGAAGAAAGGATGATTGATATAGAACCTTGTGTCTAACCATTGTCATGGTTGCCAAGGTGTCTCCTTATAGCATAGTACCGGTATTCTTAAATAATAGGAAGCAAGAATAGCAGAACAAAACGTAAATGCCTGATTCAATTTTCATGTAATGTCAAAACACCAAGTACAGAAGTCCTTACCTGGCAACCATTCTCTGGACCAAATCCTGTTGAACCATTTAGCCTTTTCCCAGTATCAGTGACATCAAATATAAAGATTTTAACAGGAATAATGTCACTATCCCATTCAACCCATTCCACAGTGTATCGCAGGTAAAGACTCCTCCTGGTACCCTGGAAACCTTGTTTGACCTTGCATTGTGTATGATCATAGCAACAAAGTAAGCCTCCTTTATAGCCTGGCCTCAAAGGGCGTCCCCATTCACTAGCTTTGATGTTGTATAGATCACACCTGCATTCAGTGCATCCCAACCTATCTTCAGCACCCCGTGTATCAATTGCATGGACATTAAGCAACCATCTCTCCTCATACCCAACAGGAATTTCAGCTGGATTGCCAATTTCTATTGCGTAGGGATCAGGAATGTGTGTAGCTGTTTTTCGTGTTTCAGATCCCAGGCCAAAATACTGATTAAGAATACCTTTCTGGCATATTCCACTATTACGTGCAGAAATGCGATCTGATTCCTTAAACTTCTGCTCATGGTTAGTCTCAACCACATCTAGCTGTTGATAGTATCTCGAAACAAGCCAGTGGTGAAGATAAGTTTCGTGAAGAGGAACAGGATTCCCAGTATCATCAATCACTTCAGCTTTGAAACTCTTGATTCCAATATGACCTTTAGGGAAGTCAACATTGCGATAGAATCTATTCTCCACAGATCCTGGTCCCAACACAAATTTTGGTGATAGGAAAGTGGTAGATTTGATCTTACTACCACCTTTCATAGAAGCTCGTGTATAAGATAGATTAGATGCCAGTATTAGTATTGCAAACAAAAGCAAGCAGGCTCGAAAAGAATGTACCATATTGCCTGTCAGTTTCAATATCTCAGGTTAAGCTATAAATCTTTCACAAAACCAAGCACAGTATACTTGAGTTGAAACCAGCAAACTAAGACAGTAAGCACAAGAACATTGAGACGTTAAAATTGAAATTACTAGCAAACTGCAACACATGATGAGGAAAGTTTCAAGTTTTTTTAACCTTTATCTTCTCAAATGCTTATTTGCTACACGATTGGAATCACAACTATGCAGCTAGAACTGATCATACAATTTTTTATCCATCTCGTGCCGAATTCAAGATGGAGATGGAAAATTAGTGCTTTATACAAGTTGATTTGACTGGGAAAAAAAATTAGCACCGGGGAAATGTTGTGCTAAAAATCCAATTATTTTGGACATAAACTCGGGTGACAGGTAAGTTCTAGATTTGATCTTGTTTCCATTTTCCGGGAAGGCTTGTGTATAAGATACGTCAAAAGCCAGCATTAAAAGTACTAACAGAAGTACCATGTTGCATGTCAATCAATTTCAATGTCTCAGTTTAAAACCACATAATCTTGCACAAAGGAATAAATCCATGTTGTTGTGTATACTTTCTTTTTCAGCAGTTTTTACTGACCACCATATTTGTGATTGAAAAGGAAGAGTAATTTAATTAAGAAGGGTTTTGGATTATGATCAATTAGCATAAAATAATAAATCATAACCCCTCCTTTGTCATCCTGAAGATGTTTGTTCAAGATTTTTATTCTAGCCAACAGCTGCCATGGATAACAAAATTAAACAATAAAAAATCTCTGATTTCACAAATTTTAGGACCATGCTAACAGAGATGTCCCAAATCCCAGAATCTTAAGTAACGCATCTTAATTACTTCATGGATAATGATTAATTTCAGGTAAATAATTTTCTTTTTTTAGCCCGGGAAGCACTAAATTAATGGTAAAAACTTAATTATTTGAAAAAATAGTTTCAAACCAGGAGATTTAAAGATGATCCGATAAAAAAATCAATAATTTTATAGAAAAAATAATAAATAATTTTAAAAAAATTTAAATTTCAAGAACAAAAATATTCATGTATTATTAAATGATTAATGCTCTAAAACATATGCAAGCAATTGATAATAAACAGGTTCTCAACCCCACACCTAGATGTCTTAAGTACTCAAGACCTACAATTAAATCTAGATAAAAGAGTATGATGTCATAACACTTTTAATTTAAATGGATCTAATATATTTTTTGGATTTAATTTATAGCTGAATTCAAAAATATTGAGTTTGATATTTTATCAGGTCAATGTTTTTTCGGATTCAACTGATGACTGAACTGGAATTTATTAGGTTCGACATATCATCAAATCCAAATTATATTGAATTTGGCTAATTATGGAACTAAACTCAAGTATTTTGAGTTTGATATCATGTCATTTTGAGTTTAGTTCTTCTTGTATCTAAATTATTGAACCTAATTTATATTAGATTTGGTTAAATACCAAACCTAAATTTTTAGGTTTGATATATTGACAAACCTACCTCATTCCAGATTTTTTTAAAGTCTCAAAAAGATAAGCCAAGAAACAATTTCCTTGTAAATCCACATCCTGATAAATATTGCAGTTAAATCTAACAAATCTAAGCAACTCCAGTTTAATAAAAGATAGGTATAATAAAACTGACATAAGTCTATTAATGCCTTCAGGTCTACAAAAATGGATATGGAACCAGCAGTCAAAAAAGGTTTCCTTGCTGAATTACTTTCAAGTACAAACAGAGAGGCAAAACACATAAACAATAAAAGTAAGATTTTCATAGATCACCTCGATTATCTCGATTACCTTGATTAGAACTTGAAAAACAAGAACTGAATTCAACAGTTTCTGCCACTTCTCAAGGAAATGTATCTTCTTGAACAACTCGGTTTCTCTTCTGTCCAGAACTCAAGAGAAGGAAAGATTGAGAAAGTGCTGCTATCTTATTGAATTAGGAATTAGGCTATCCATTTGTAATAAAAAGTTTAATATTCAATAAACCAGAGGCAAAGAGTTGAACTAATTAGACAGAGGTTCCTGCCTAAAGCCACGACATCTACTATTGTATGTTGTTTTCTTTTTTAAATGTGGGTGTTGGATTAACTTGTATGTAGCTCAATTAATTTTACAAGTTCTGAAGTTAATGATTATATAAGCCTTTAATTGCCTTGAGATTTATAGGACTAGAATCAATAATCTCTAAAAAACAAATTTAAAATTTGACCAATTAAGTTACATTTCCTTAAAGTTAATAAAATTTCTTGAATTTATAAAAAAATAACTTTGAAAGGCTTCTTAGTGTTAGTTGAATTGTTTAAAAGGCATGCAAATATTTCATTTTCTAAGTTCTTATCAATACTTTTTTAAAAATTTAAATATATTGTTTTCGAGGACATGCTAGTATTTAATAAAAATTCTAATTAACTAGTCTAATACAATTATTTTTTTTCATCAAAGATAATAATGCTTTAATTAATATCAAATAATTCCTACTTTAACCCATGTCTTCATGTAAAAATACTGATTTTGCATCCAAGATACTTTATGAATTTTGAACTACCAAAGCAGTAATTAATTTAATTATATCATGTCTTACAACCATAGAAAAAACTTCTTGACATTATACTCTTTATATTGTACTCTAGCTTGAAACATTTAGCTACCAAGTGTTTTTGTTTTCTTAATGATATTTTCAAAAATCATAGGATAATATAAAAAAATAAGTAAGTAGATTATTAGATTAATTAATTCCAATTATTTCTTAATTATTCATCTATATAGATCTTTTTCTAACACATGATCTTTAATTATTAGATATACTTTGATTATCTAATAGTTGTAGTGTTTTTCTGTATAAGTTTTTTTATTATTTTATTATTCTCATCATCTAAATTCACTAGAATATTTTTTTTAATATCATTATTACTTCATGTCTAAAATCTAACTTTATAAAAATATAAGTTTTTGAATAATTACTCATAGTAAGGAAAATATATTTTTCTCTCTTTTTATCAAACTTTTGTCTTTTTTGATCCGAGATATAAGCAATTGATAATGTACCTAAAAATTCTTAGATGTTCTATTGTCAGTCTTCATTCACTCCGAGATTCTTTTAGTGTCTTATCTTAGATGAAAAATGTGAGACTTCAATTAAAAATACAAACACTTCAATTTACTACTGGAAGACTATTCCTTGTCAAAAGAATTTGAACTATATTTATATTTATAATAGTATAATTTTTTCTTTTGCAAACTTTATTTGCTTTAATATCAATGGTTGAAAAAACCAAGGATATAAATATTTAATTTTTTAATTTAATATTTTTTAAAATTTAAAAATTTTAAAGACTGTGACCGTTATAGTTTTTATAAAGAGGTTATTATAATAACTCAAACTAATTAGTTAAACAAGATTCTAATTAACTATTCTTACACATCGAAGGTTGAAAACACCAAGTGCACAAATATTTAACCTCCCAAGAGATTACAACCTTTAACTATTTTAATCTGATTCTAATTAACAAATCATTTTTTATCAAGATTCCTATTCACACGGACAGAAATTCCATCCCAAAACTCTTTAAATAATACACAAGTGAACTTCTCAATAAATCATCTGATACCCCTTTCAAAGAGTCTGAGTTCTTTATTCATCTTATTTACATTTTCTAGAGAAGCTTGTATATATGATATGCCAAAAACCAGTAATAAAAATTACTAACAGAAGAAGGGGGAAAGAATAAGATTTTTCTTGTCACCGAGTTTGCCAGCATAAACAGGGTGGAAAAACACGTTTTTACTCGTCTTGTTTCAATCAATAAATGTAAGACTTCAATCGACATACACGAATTCAGAAGTTTCTGCCACTGCAGGCACAAGTAGAAACTTAGTGATTTTGAAAAACTTTTTTTCTCTTCTGATATGCAAATGGCAAAGAGAAGGTAGGGGCCGGGTAGCGTGTCAGAAGTCCTGTCATATCATTGAATCACACCATCCATGATTGGTGATGTGGGATACAGTATTCAGCTAGTCATATCAATAGTCTATGTCATATGGAGGATTTGAAGTTCATTTCTTCAAGAAAAAACTGTTGGGAGTTATGAATCATGCATTTTTTCTTAATTAAGAAAAAAAAAGTTTTTACTTCTGATCTTTCTAGTAAAAGAAAAAAAGTAAATAATAGATGTAAATACAAATATTTTACTTGAACTATTATTTTTATTTGATATATTTTCATTTATTTTATTTTAAAAGTTAATCCTGATTTTCAAGAATAAATAATTTTGATTTTTATAAATGATCGTGCAAATATAACTTACGAAAAGATTTAAACAGTGCTATACTTAGTTCACGGTTTGATTTATAAGCAAGATCAGGCAAGAAGATACAGTACATGGATCATGAAAACACGAATTCAACTCTATGCCAGCATTGGCTGGTAGCCTTCCCCTCTCCCCTTCTTTAGCCGAGAATGTACAGTTACAGCAACAGCTATTGCCATTCCGAACAAAGCTATAATTGCAACCGCATATGTGGATCCTTTCATGTTTACATGCATCTGTAAGAACCAAGAAAATCAATGGTTTTCAGTTGTCAACAATCCAAAATGTTATCAACATCGTTTTGTGAATTCTTCTCCATGTTGCTATCCTAAGTACCAGAATTCTCTTTCGCTATAAAATGTCATTTATAAAAACACTATCTAATTCCAGCATAATTTTTTCTGCTATAAAAATGTTTCTACCTGATTCTACTTGGCTAGAAAAACACTATCTAATTCCAGCATAATTTTCTTCTTAATATCTAAAACATTGCTTGTAAGGATTCCTCCAAGGGAGATTTGAACAACAATGCATGTGACTCTATGCACATACATGCAAAACACACACAACATCCGTTTGCATTCATGTAAGTTTAAATGGTCACCATTTAAATTTTTCAAAAAGACTTACATGAATGGGAGCTTGTAGCAAACTCGTGGGGTTTGGTGTTCGGTCTGCAACCAACATGTAGAAAAGCCCCATAACTCCTGTGTGGTTTTGATCTCTGCTGTAGTTGGATTCCAGAACTAGCTTCTCCCCAGCCGTTATCTGGATAGAGCCTGGTTCAGGATAACATGTGGACATTCCTACAATGTAACCTGCCTCATTTCCCGCTTCTTTTCCTTCTCCATATATTGGTAGTGAAGTACATATAACACGTCCATCCTGATCAGAATAAAATCTTAACTAACCTTCATCTTAAACATTTAACGCTTGAGCATAGTATTACATAATCAATGACATTGAGAGAGGTGCGTGAGGGAGCACTACAGAAAGCAGTCCAAGAAAATGAAGAAACAACAATTTTGGACAGCAACAAAACTTAAATGGAGACTGGAAGGTGAAGCTGATGGTAGGCCAGGACCAAGATATATGTTGGGTTGACAAGTTATTATCTCAGACCTTGGAAGTGATCCTTTTTAGTACACAGCGGCATAAAGGAACCTTCTTGGGAAAGACATTAAGTTCCAAGCTCTTTAAAAGGCTCAATCGGCAAATAAAGTGAAATGCAAGTAACTGTACCCCTTCAGAGTTTTATGGATCATCATATAACTGATCAACAGTCATTCAAATAAGTCTACAACCTATGAATTGGGAAAGACAGAGCCAGAGGATATCAGAGTCACTGCTGCACTGTCTACTCAGCAATATAAGTGGTCGGCCTGGTCAGTCTTCAAACGACCTCACTTTATGTACTACTGGAAGTTAGAGAAGAGAGGGTCACAACGGTTCTAGACTGATTCACGCAACTAAAATATTCAAAAATTTATGTAAAGTGAAAAATAATTAAAAAGTATTCTGACAATAGCAAGTGAAAAAAAGAAGATCCGGCCATATCAAGATGAGATGAGAAGACGTCACTACAAAATTGAAGTTTAAGGGTGGAAGTCACCTTCCCATACAGAGTCGAACCAATTCCTCCAGTATGCTGGTGGGCAACACCATAGAAGAGATAGCCAGTAGTTGGCATGGTAAGGTTTGTCCTTTTGACATCAACACACCCATTAACAGCAGTATCAGTGGAGCTGCAAGACTTGATTTCATATTCAACCTGTTGCAAAAACATTATTAGTGATTCTCAATTAAACAGAATGAGCAGTTCTACTGGGAAAAAAAAAAAAGAGTTTCTGTTGAAACGTCCCTTTTGTTTTCTGAAACTTGTGAAACGCATGCCTAGGAATGTTCATTTCATGCGTTCAGTACCAATTCAGTCAAAGTAATCTCACAGATTCAGCAAATACAACTTTTTATTAAAAGGCATAACAAATGCAGCATCATCATCACAAAAATGTGTGTATATAATGATGGGGAGTGACACAGAATCCAAGATCCCCATACCTCACACTAAGGCTGCTCTGAGTATGCAAAAATATATACTCTCAAAAGGGGAGGCCAGTTTTGCATGCTGGTATATGTGCTTATGACTGGGGTTTCGCTTTCAGAGTGTACATTGAGTTTTTATATATCAATAAATATGCATCTACTTACATGTATCAGGAACTTCACTCCAGTGAAATTAATTTAGTGAATTCAGATGTGACACAGCACTATTGCAACTATACTGTACCCTACTGGAGGATTTCCAAGAGCAGCAGATATTCTGTCAGTTCAACATGCTCTGCTGTGCGTTTAAAGAGAATTCAGCTTATTATCAAGTGTATTTCCCACTGTAATGCTTTTCTCAAACAAGAAGAAAGGATGATTGCTATAGAACCTTGTGTCTAACCATTGTCATGGTTGCCAAGGTGTCTCCTTATAGCATAGTACCGGTATTCTTAAATAATAGGAAGCAAGAATAGCAGAACAAAACGTAAATGCCTGATTCAATTTTCATGTAATGTCAAAAACCAAGTACAGAAGTCCTTACCTGGCAACCATTCTCTGGACCAAATCCTATTGAACCATTTAGCCTTTTCCCAGTATCAGTGACATCAAATATAAAGATTTTAACAGGAATAATGTCACTATCCCATTCAACCCATTCCACAGTGTATCGCAGGTAAAGACTCCTCCTGGTACCCTGGAAACCTTGTTTGACCTTGCATTGTGTATGATCATAGCAACAAAGTAAGCCTCCTTTATAGTCTGGCCTCAAAGGGCGTCCCCATTCACTAACTGTGATGTTGTATAGATCACACCTGCATTCAGTGCATCCCAACCTATCTTCAGCACCCCGTGTATCGATTGCATGGACATTAAGCAACCATCTCTCCTCATACCCAACAGGAATTTCAGCTGGATTGCCAATTTCTATTGCGTAGGGATCAGGAATGTGTGTAGCTGTTTTTCGTGTTTCAGATCCCAGGCCAAAATACTGATTAAGAATACCTTTCTGGCATATTCCACTATTACGTGCAGAAATGCGATCTGATTCCTTAAACTTCTGCTCATGGTTAGTCTCAACCACATCTAGCTGTTGATAGTATCTCGAAACAAGCCAGTGGTGAAGATAAGTTTCGTGAAGAGGGACAGGATTCCCAGTATCATCAATCACTTCAGCTTTGAAACTCTTGATTCCAATATGACCTTTAGGGAAGTCAACATTGCGATAGAATCTATTCTCCACAGATCCTGGTCCCAACACAAATTTTGGTGATAGGAAAGTGGTAGATTTGATCTTACTACCACCTTTCATAGAAGCTCGTGTATAAGATAGATTAGATGCCAGTATTAGTATTGCAAACAAAAGCAAGCAGGCTCGAAAAGAATGTACCATATTGCCTGTCAGTTTCAATATCTCAGGTTAAGCTATAAATCTTTCACAAAACCAAGCACAGTATACTTGAGTTGAAACCAGCAAACTAAGACAGTAAGCACAAGAACATTGAGACGTTAAAATTGAAATTACTAGCAAACTGCAACACATGATGAGGAAAGTTTCAAGTTTTTTTAACCTTTATCTTCTCAAATGCTTATTTGCTACACGATTGGAATCACAACTATGCAGCTAGAACTGATCATACAATTTTTTATCCATCTCGTGCCGAATTCAAGATGGAGATGGAAAATTAGTGCTTTATACAAGTTGATTTGACTGGGAAAAAAAATTAGCACCGGGGAAATGTTGTGCTAAAAATCCAATTATTTTGGACAAGAACAATTTTAATCCTCCATGCACATAAATAAAGGATTGATTATAAAAGTGTTCCAATCATCCGCAAATCAAGAAGACTGACACCATGATTGAAACCTTCCTTATCAATTCACAACAAAGACGTTTGTTCAAAATCTTTAATCAAATCACCAATCACATGCACTGTTAGAACTGTGGAGAGAAACCCTCAAGAACCAGCATGATAACAGTTAAGGCAGAGATTACACGATAAAAGAACATTCAATTTATGCTATGATTATTATGCTTTAATTTGATTTGCCCACATTTTTTTTTTTTTAGAAAAGCCTTAATTTGTGATTCTGTATTGTAATGTTAGAGGGTATAGGAAACAGCCTTACGTGAAGATCACTATTAATCGGCTCCACTATAATTATACATGTTTGTTTCTTTCAAGCCCAAATACCCAAAATTGAGGTTGAAATTTTAACAGGATATCTTTGAACAACAAATTTCAGAAAAGAAAAAAGATCTAAAATGAGCACAGCATCATATTCACACATGGTTTCCATATGAAGGTTAAAATTTACTCGGAAAACAGTATGAGACAAATGAGTAAAAGAAAACGAAGCTATTGTCAATATCCAGCTATCTCACTTTAAACTCTTGAAATCCAAATCATACTCATCAATCAAATGCCTTGTACAAAAAGAAATCAAAATATCCTAACATGTTTTCTGCTAAATTTAGAAAGGAAAAAAAATCTTGACTAAAATGGAACAAATACTAACAAAGGGATATATTTATACATCATTAAGCAGAAAAAAAGGAAAGAAGAGAGCATATACCCAGATACCAAAAGTCACCTGGCCAAAAGTTCGAATTTTAATCAGTCCCCCGCCTTTTGAATTTATACACCAGTAGGACAATATTCTTTATCGGCTCTTTTCTGCTGGGTAAGTGGCAAAGATTTTATATGTATTCTTCCCAAGAACAAAGCAGGTCAGCCTGACAGACAATCGTTTGTTCAAGTACAACGTGTAAGAATATGAACTTAGCTGATTTAGCTGAGTTTGATTTTAGTTTTGAGAGTATTTTTAATAAAATTTATTTTTTTTATTTTTTTAATGAATATTTTTTAAATTATTTTAATGTGTGATATTAAAAATAATTTTTTAAAAATGAAAAGATATTTATAAATAAAAAACAATTTAAAAATAACTATAATCAAGATTTTGGTGTACGGAAATGTACCACGTGTGTGGATCTCCTTCAGACTTTGAATCATCGTTATTTATTGTACTAGTTTCTGGACAGTCCTGAGCCATGC